GCTGTGGCCACCATCTTGATTTGGGTATCAGATGGTACTGGGGTGGGGACAGCACAAACAAAGGAGCATGCAAAAGGAGAGATTCATTTCCAGAGATATGGCAAACTCAACCAAGGGCAGGAATAGACCTCTAGGGTGAAGTAAGAACTGGGCCAAGGAAGGGAGGAAGCAGCTTCAGGGAGATGGGTTTGCTCCATAATGTCCTCTTGATTATCTTTACTTCCTGCCTTGTCTTCTTGTAAAGAGATCCACTCCTTTTAAGCTATTTAGAGATAGTGCCATTAAAATAAACAATACTAATGATAGTAATAGCCATAATTGCTCCCTCGACTGACCCTACCTCTTCTTTCAATCTTTTAGCCTTCAAATTATTCCTTTTTAGATAACCTCATATGACTTTCCATTTCCATTCAATTTTACTTTCCTCGTATCTGCTACCAGTTACAAAGTCAGGAAGATAATATCACAAACCATCTCTAGAAGGAAAAACTCAGGTGCCATTTTCCACTAACTGGTGCCAAATGCCTTTTGCTTCTCAAGGACTGACCTTCTGCAGCCTTTCCATGGCATATAAAAGCCCTTTGTGCCAGGCTGGAACTCCCTCTATGTCACCATGGCTTGTGTGTGTATTTGTTATTATTTATTTGTACTGGGAAGTATAAATGAGGAACAATACCAACTAAAGGCTACAAGAAACACTACTGGTGGCCATGACTAAGTTCCATCCTACTGCCCGTACCTGCCTGGCGAGGGTGGAATGCACATCACTACATTCTGTGTGTTTTGTCAGTAGAGAAGCTGAGTTAAGGTGGAAAAAGACTTTCTCAAAAACAGATCAGATTGCATGTAGAATATAAAATAGAAGTAAAGAGCCCAGGAATCCTGTGAGCTCTATTTCCGAGAGACCCAAGAGACTCTTGATTAGAGACACCCATTGCACAGTCTTTCCTGTTGAGAGCTCATCAGGGAAGAAGCACTGGCTGTGGTCAGAGTCTGGAGGTTCTAGTCCCAGTCCCAGTTCTGTCAATGGGCTGTGGAACCTTGCCAAGTTCCTTTCTCCTCTCTGAGAAATTGTGTGTCATTATGTGTCCAGGGGAGAGGAGTATGAGATAATTTTTGTTTTCCACTGTTACTATTCTGCAGTGTTATAATTCTAAATTCCTGGAGTATGAAGTTCCCAACTCAACAGAGTAGGTGGGATCCTTCTTTTTCCTCCTTGGTTGTCCAGAGTAACTGAAAACTCAAAGGCTGCAGTCCCAAGGTCATTTTCCTAAGCAAATATGTGCCACAGTTGTCTAGTCACAGACAGCAGACAGGGCTCCATGTACAGGACTCCATGACCCCTGCGATGGAAATAATCCTGACTTCTTATCCTTCCATCCAGTTAGAAAGGCACAGGGAAGTGAGTCGCCCCCTCTCTAAGCTCACTGATTGAGGCAAAGACAGGATCAGCTCGGAAGACCTGAAAGAACCAGAGAAAGTGCCAGATGGGTGTGGGCAAGTTTGGAGGGAGATGGCTAGGGGAGGGCATGAGGTACGTTTGCAGACCACTGGGGTACGGCTGAGGCATTATTGAAACCACAGGCCCTAGAAGCCAGACTTCTCCCAAATTTCAACCCAATGCCCTTCCCAGACTCGAACTGAACCATATTTATTTATTCACTATTCATTAAGTGCCGACAACTACCACCCACCTGCCATTTACTGACGAATTCCTATATATCTGGCTTATAAAGTTTAGGACGTTTACCCTACCCACAAAGCTACAACACAAGTACACCATGGATTGGGACGGGGATTTTGTTGTAACTGCCGGGCAGGGGTACCAGGAGCCCAGGGGACAAAAAAGGCGCTATCCGAGCTGAGTCTCAGACGTCTGGGGATGCTCAGAGGTGGGAGTGGGTAGATATCCTCCGCAGTTAGCCCAGTGGGCGACCCCGCACGTGCGGAGGGAGTGAAGGGCGCTGGCGGCGCGCGTGAGGGGCGGGGGAACGCCGCGGGCCGGAGTGGGCGGGGCCTGACGCTCTCGCTGCTCTCCTGCAGGCGTGCATCCGGGCCTGCAAGCCCGACCTCTCGGCCGAGACGCCGGTGTTCCCTGGCAACGGCGATGAGCAGCCGCTGACTGAGAACCCCCGGAAGTACGTCATGGGCCACTTCCGCTGGGACCGCTTCGGCCGTCGGAATGGTAGTAGCCTCGGCGGGGTGAGCGGCGCGGCCCAGAAGCGCGAGGAGGAAGTGGCGGTGGGCGAAGGCCCCGGGCCCCGCGGCGATGGCGCCGAGACGGGTCCGCGTGAGGACAAGCGTTCTTACTCCATGGAACACTTCCGCTGGGGCAAGCCGGTGGGCAAGAAGCGGCGCCCGGTGAAGGTGTACCCCAACGGCGCCGAGGACGAGTCGGTCCAGGCCTTTCCCCTCGAATTCAAGAGGGAGCTGACTGGGGAGAGGCTCGAGCAGGCGCGCGGCCCCGAGGCCCAGGCTGAGAGCGCAGCCTCCCGGGCTGAGCTGGAGTATGGCCTGGTGGCGGAGGCTGAGGCGGCCGAGAAGAAGGACGAGGGGCCCTATAAGATGGAACACTTCCGCTGGGGCAGCCCGCCCAAGGACAAGCGCTACGGCGGGTTCATGAGCTCCGAGAAGAGCCTAACGCCCCTTGTCACGCTGTTCAAAAACGCCATCATCAAGAACGCCCACAAGAAGGGCCAGTGAAGGCGCAGCAGGCAGGGGTCTCTCTCCGCGGAAAGTTGACCCCGAAGGCCTCTCTTCTGCCCTCCTGCCGTCTCGCAGCCCGGGTGAGGACTCGCCCAGGCAGTGATGGCGCCAGGTATCCCACTTCTTAAAGCTGTCTGTAGTTAAGAAATAAAACCTTTCAAGTTTCACAAATATTGACTGGGTGAATTAAAAACGCATATCCATCAAGTAAAGAGCAGCACATATTGGAGGGGCGATAGTGGTTTCCATGTTACTACGTGTTAATATGTTTCACAGGATATACTGAGAATCAAAGGAAAAGGTACTTCCTCCCCGCCCCTAGCAAATGGGTCTTCTAGGGGTCAAATAAGGTGATGGTTCAGTGTGCTGCATTTCCCACTCTCCATTGAGTGCGAAAAGGCTGATCAGCCAGCTGATGATTCCTCCGAAAGACAGGATTCCTCCTATTACTCTGGTTCCCACCTAAGTCCAAGAGCCAGTGAGTCACAGATGAGCCCCAATGGGAACTGAGAGGGCTCTGGGCTCCGAGGTGGGACGTTGTGGTTAATGCCTATGTGGATCTAGCGATCTGTGAGAACTTAGGCAAGTCTTTGAACTTTTCCAAAGTTTAGTTATCTCATTCCTTCCTGTTATGAGTGCTGTGTGAGGGTTAATGAGAAACTGGAGAGGTCATCTTTTCATCACTGAGAGGCTAAGTGTGAGATTGGTATGGGTTCAGATTTGACTGCTCTCCCAGGCTACCCTCAGATACTCTCAAACATAGGGTCTCACCCACACAGACATATACCCATGGAGACACGTCTGTAGAAATAAAGTATGCACAGATGCTTCTTTCAGCCTCTGGGGCGTAAGATTGAAGTCTGTCTTGACCTGCTTGTCATGCCCAAGCTCCCTCTACCCCAGGTTGCCCAGTTTCAGCCTTCTCTTCATGCTCAGGCCTCAACTAGCCTAATAGCTCCCTAACCAACTGGTATCCTGGTCTCCAATTGCTTTTCCCCCAATCCATTGAACAAACTCTTCATATTAGTGTATATATAGAAAATCTTGCTTTCTCCACATTAGTTGGCTCAAGACACAATCACCCCACTGCCACTCTTCCATCAATTCCCAAACAACTGGGCATGACACATACCAGGGCCCTTCTCTGTCAGTTTCACTCTCCTTACCAAACTTCACTTCCCTGCTTTTATCACTTCTTCCATCCTCCTCCATCTTCTGCCTGGAATTCTCCACCATTCCCCTCTATTTTGAATGTTACACTGTTTTCAACATGAATCCGGGCTCAAGTCAACTTCTGCTGGGAAAGATGGGATGTTTTGCAGTCAAGCCTGCTCATTTTCAGGGTTTCTGAAGTCAGCCCCTCTGCACTTGGAGAGCTGTCCAGCCCAGATGGCAAGTTTCTTACCGCACACACATATTGTGCTCTTTTCTTTCAAGGAAAGTAAGCTCCACGAGGGCAGAGGCCAGGGGTTGTGTTTCTTATGTCACCAAGATCTTTTCACAAAGTTGGGTCCACTGGTTTGTAGTCACACATTCAGAGAGTGCATACACAGAGATGCACATGGCCATGTCAACTGCATCAGTCGATGATACAGATCAAAACCAGCTGGGGAATATTTCTGTATGGCACTTCTATATTTACTTCCATATTTTGATATGGATGTTCACAATTAAAACTGGAATGCACCTGGGAAGTCCTGATAGGGGACAAGAAAGCCAGACTCAAGATAAAGTCTCCCTCAATGTGGGTTCTATGAAATGGGGTTGAATCCTAGTTGCTGTAATGAAGCAATGTTCCAGGCCTCATCTGAGGATGCTCCCACGCTGGGAATCCTGGGCCTCCTGTTTACATCTTGGTAGCTTCCTTTCGGAGAAGGCAATGGCACCCCACTCCAGTACTCTTGTCTGGAAAATCCCATGGACGGAGGAGCCTGATAGGCTGCAGTCCATGGGGCTGCTAAGAGTTAGACACAACTTTGCAACTTCACTTCACTTTTCACTTTTATGCATTGGAGAAGGAAATGGCAACCCTCTCCAGTGTTCTTGCCTAGAGAATCCCAGGGACCGTGGAGCCTGGTGGGCTTCCATCTATGGGGTCGCACAGAGTTGGACACGACTGAAGTGATTTAGCAGCAGCAGCAGCAGCATCCTTTCACTTACTCCCCTTCCGTTCAAGGCAAGTAAAGTAATAGTAGGTGGGGGTGGCTAAATGTCAGTGGTTAATGCTGGTGGTATTTTCAGATCCTGTTTGCGTCTCAAAAAACCATTTACTTTAAAGAAATCAAATACACAACTGTGCAGTGACAACATTAACATTTATTTGAAAAGGGCACTGGGAATTCACAACTAATAGTCCCAAAGAATAATCTTGCTAAGAGTCCTTCTTCCTACACACTGAACACCCCCCACCCCCACCCCAGTCCTCCTTCCCCTTCCTTCAAATTACTTTGATTCGATGAGTTCAAAATACAGAAAACTTCCACAGGCACTAATTCTGCACTCACATATAAATACATCAGCAGTTATATACAAACACTGTCAACTATGAACTACATTATACACACATGCACACGCACGGGCACACACACTCAACCAGGTCATGAAGGTCTTAAGTGGACACAGACATGTTATAATGTATGAGTAACGCTGCAGCATTTGTGGATTTACAGCCCTGCCCTCCACAGGCCAGAATCAACAGCCGTGGAGGAAGAGCTCAAAAGGGGAAGGTGATGGGCTGGGGCCCCAAGGTCCCCTGAAGGAGAAAAGCCTTGGTCAACCTAGTTGGTGATAAAAGACAGAATGGAAAACAGATCACAGAGCCCTCCCACAGGTCTGTGTCCCCTCCCAGCTCCCCCACTTGGCAGGCTGCACCAACACCCTTCTGCAGACTTCAGTCCTAGGCCAGATTTGGGATAAGGGGCATTTTAACTAGAAGGTTTCTAGGGTCATGAGATGAAGAAGTAACACGCTGCCCTAAGCCTTCTCCCCGGACATAAGGCAGATATCTTGTTTCAGCACAACCTGCCTTTTCAGGGTCTATGGGTCCAGAGAATTGGGTGTGGCCTGCCTTGAGGAGCCTCCCTCCCTGTCTACCATCAAACTTAATATTCAGCCTAACAGCTCAGGTCTAGTCTCTTCCCATAAGCCCCAACTGGCCAGCTGCCATTTCATGGTCATGAAAACGAATTGGGAGAAACAGCCTCACTTCTCAATGAGACACTTTCTACCCAGGGACAATGGAATAGTATCTGGAAGGTTTCCTGACCCAGGGGCCCCAAGTGAAGCCAAGAGGTCTGGCCTTTTAGGCATCAAAGCAACTGCAAGGCTGTTCTGATCCTTAAGCCAGTTGAAACATATCCTCTGGGACTGAGAACACCCGGAGCAAAGGGCAGTGCCTCCTTGACCCTTGCACTTCAGGCACTTTAGATGGTCCCAGCCCTGCCTTTCACCGCTCATTCGTCTATACTGATGCTTGAGGTGGAGGGCTGGACAGAGGAGAATGTCTGAAGACTTTTCTATTTCTTCTTCTGATCCACCCAGGCTCCTTCTCTGGGGAGGAGGTGTTCAGAAGTCAAGAAATCACTTATTTCTACTTTTCAGAAAGAGGAAAATGGGAACAGGCACAGGCCATGGTGGATCCCTTTGCAAGGAAAACCAGAAGGAGCCTCCAGGGTCACACTGGGGCTCTCCTCTCAACTGCTTCTGACACACTCATGTGACTCAACCAAGTTCAGTGAACTTCCAAATCCCCAGTACATCCGTGCTACTGGGTTCTGTCAGCATTCGAGCCAATGGGCCCTACCCCTTGCCCATGAAGATGAGTCTTCAGTGGTTTGGGGGAGAAACTGGTTTGGATGGCTTTGTTAACTCAAAATCATAACACAGAAGGGTAGCAAAGAGGGTTGGTCACTTGACACAGTGTCACTAGATCCCATAGGGCTTGGAAGGAAGGAAGAGTGATGCTAGGCTGAAAGCCTGGGTACCCACCATCCTCTGCTTGCCTTCTCTCCTAGGGTTTGGGAAGGCCAGGGGAGGGTGAAAGAGACTGCTTAATTTATTATTGAATTGTTTGAATTAATGTTCATCTTAAACTTTCTGATTCCGAGGCGTCTTTGACTAGAAGCCAGATTCTACAGCATGTCAGCAGGCAAGCCAGTATTCCACTGAGTGTGATTTTAAATTGAAACTGAGAAGAAAGCCACTCAAGATGCAGTCAGGTCTCCAAAAGCAGCACATCTCTGCTAGGCAGCGATGACATAGAGAGAAAGCTGTTTCAGACAGAGGAAACAGCAGTGGAGTGTCTGAAGACAGACATCCTGTACCTTTTCCTTCACTCTGTTCCCAGGGTGGGGATGAGGGAGAGACAGTAGACGGACTCGGAGGTCTCTGGTTCTGGGGCTGGCACTAAGAAGGAGGCTCTAGGGAATGACTCCCATGTCCCAGAGCCAGGACCCCCAGGCAGGGCTCAGAGTACAGATGCCACGGGGTGGACCCCACAGTCAGAGAAGCATGAGAGAAACAGGGCCTCAAGTCAAAGCCGAGCAGGGGAAGAGCCAGTGAAGACATGATTGTGGTTCAAGATTTAGATTTTCTCCAACATGTCTTCCAAAGGTTACTTGTCTTCAAGTTTGTTTCTAGTTATTTTAATCTTGGTTTCTTAATAAAGAGATATTAAAGTAAAGAGAGATCTCAGTCCATGCTTATAAAGTTGGGTTGAGCATTAGCCAAAAGCCATAGCGCAGAGCCAAAGGCCATGGTGGGAGCAGGGGCCAGCCCCCCTTGTCCCCAGAGTCATGTAGACCCTCTGCAAGTTGCAGGCTCACAGCACAGAGGCAGCGATCAAGGCAGGAAACTACAGGAATGAGGGTCAGACAGCCCCCCTATCCAACAAGTTTACTGCACATGCAGTAAGAAAGTACCTAGGTTCAGATTCTTCTGGTTTGGGCAAATACAGCTCTCTGTTCTGATAACCCGGCTCTCACAGTGCACCTGCGTTGGGCCATGCACAGGGGTGTGATCCGGGGGTGGGGGGGGGTGCGTCTCGAGAAGACTGACCTCTCCTTAGCAGAAAGGGCCTGCTTCTGACCCCACCCCACACTGTCTAAAACTGTACCCTCAAAAGGGGTTCCTTTGGGTCAAGAAATCTACTCACTCTCCCTCTTTTCAAAAGCAGTTTCTCCAGGGAGGAATCATTTGACCATTCTCCCCTTCTTGTGAGTCATATCAGCTCAAAAGTTACAGGAGGTTAGACTGGAAAAGAAGCAAAGGGCTACCCTGGGCCAGAGGGTGCTTCCCCAGAAAGAAGCCCAGGGAAGGTTCTGCCAGAGGTGGTGGGATCTTCAGGAAGAAAGGCATCAAAGAGAGAGAATCAACTTGGAAGAACATGCCTCTGGACGAAGGAGCGGAGATGCTACAGAGGGGGACAGACTTGCCCACTTCTGCCTGGTGCTTCATAACAGGAGGCCAGCAGTTGGGGAGCAGGAGCCCCCTCTATTAGCGGCTTCATCCTCTGCTGCCCCCCACCCCTGCCATGGGGTGTCTACCCCAGCTCCTGTTATAAGGGCTCAATATTAACCAACATTAGAAAGAACCATGGAGAGGCAGCAACTGGCAGCGTGAGCCAGGGAGTGGAAGAGACATCAAAGATTTGGAGGCCTTTGGTCCCTCAAATGGGGGAGGAGGAAGGGACGCTCTGGAGATCAACGCCCACATGCCACTGCTTTGCAGGAGGAGCTGCCCTCACTTCCTCCTTATCACGTCTTCAGCTTCCTGTGACCAACTGTGTCTCCATCTAGTTCCCTCCTGGGGGAATGGGAACTGTGCCGCTCCCTGCCCAGGACCCGCCACCCCCATCCCCCGCCGCCCCCATAGAAGCCATCACTCACTACATTAAGCACAGCTTCCTGGGACCTCAGCCTCTCTCTGCAGGACCTCCCCTCCACCCCCGCCCCCTCACTTTTGGCCCCAGGCTGACACAGAGGAGGAGACAACAGGCACAGGTGGGATGCTTATTGGCCCCAGAGGGGCAGGTGGCCGGATCTCCCTCAGGGAAGACAAGGAGGAAGCGGGGAGGGGAGGGGCCCATAGGAGGTGAGGGGGCCCGGGGCTCCACCTTGCTTCACTGGGGAGGTGCTGCTGTCCAAGGTGCTTATTCTCTGAGATCCCAGTTAGATTTCCATGTCATAGGGATGGGCGTGAAAGCTAGTTCCTCCCTCAGACCCTGCCCCTCGAAGAAGCTGTGTCTTGAATTCAGTATACGCAGAGATCAGGAAACTTCATCTCGTAGACAGGGATCGAGTGGTTCTGAGGCTGGCCATAGGCTGCAGTGATGGTTCCTGATGGGCTTGGAGGGGGCCTGGGGCAGAAACACAAGGAAGAGACATGAGGAAGGGGTCCAAGGGTTCCACCTTGTGCACCAGAGCAGCTGATTGAGGTTTCTCTTTGAATAGGGACCAGAGATTTTGTCAGTCCGTGGGTCCCAAGGTTTCAAGCTGTTCTAGAACGTTCAGCTTGAAGTCAAGCTTCATTGCTGGTTCTATAGTGACTGTTGCTTTAGAAAGTAAAAGTACTAGCTTGGGACACTAGGACCACTGGGTCTTTTCCAGGGTTCACTGAGCTGTCTTTTTCTCTGTTTCCTTATCTGGGGAGAACTGGTGGCCGAGCCCTGGAGACAGAGGCTGCAGGCAGGGAGGGCTAAAGACAGGTGTGAAAGGAGGACTTGGGGGTGGGGTACCTACACTGGGCCACAGAGGTGGGGATACCCTGCCCAGGGCTGCCACTTACCGGATAGTGATTTCAAAGATCTGATTGAGTTTGCTCTGCAGCAGTGATGCCTAGAGATAAACAGAGAAGAAAGTGAACTAGGGGTTCCCCACACCTTGACTCCCAAGCCTACTGGTGCAGCATGCACTGGAGGTACGAGGCACTGCAATCTTAGGAAAGAAACTGCTGTGAGATAAAAAAAAAAAAAAAGAAAAAGGAGCTGCTGTGGGCTTGTTTCCAGTGCTTCTCAGTGGACCCTCACAGTGAGTTCAGATCAGACAGAGGGGCCCAGCAGAGGCCTGCCGGGGACAGCACAGAGGCCAGGCACCCCAGAAAGGACTTCAGCAGCAGTTCTAGAAGGGCCCTTAGCTCCTCCAGGTGAGGCAACAGGGCCTGCTGGGAAGAGTCTGGAGGTTTGGAGCTGGTTCCAGCTCTTTCCTTAACTCCCAAGGAGCAGCTGTGCAAAGCTCGTGTGTCAGGGAAGACACTCTCTCTGGTCCCCTTTGGCTCCAACTAAGCCCATGGACACAAAGAGTGAGATTGCGCTCAACTCTGAGCTCACAAAATAAGCACCTCTCGAGATGGGACAAGAACTTAGTATAATATAGACCCAGGAAAATCTGTATTATACTTACTTCTATTTTTATATACCATAATGCATATTAATATAATTATTATATAAGAGGTTTGAATATATGTATATATATTAGAAATATATATATTAGAAAGTTACATGCATTTTTATGGAGAGGAAAATGTACAATAAAGTATATTATCTGTAGACTTCAGATATTTACAATTATGTTTCATTGTTACTAAGATGGACCCTGGGTCTAACAAATCCTGGTCTATCATTTTCAAGAAATGTTTGCACTCCTCCCTTACCCAGAGACTTCAGACTGTCTTTTTACTTGTCTGGTGCCCTCTCATTCAAATTTCTTTTCCAAGGCCAGGTTGTTCCATTCTACCCACCAGTGTCCCCTAGTTGGAAGCAGCCCCATAGCTAATGCTGGCCATCTTTCCTGTGTCACAACCCCTCCTGTCATCACTCCATAATGTGAGAGTCCTAATGGCAACCTCACAGAGAAATAATGGAAGATGCTCTGGTGAACAGTGAGTGCTATTTATGTTCTTCCTCTGATGATTATTATTATAATCTGTTCAGTACAGGACATGCTGAGGTCAGGATTTCTCCCTTATATGAAAATTGTGACGTCTGGAGAGATATGACTAGTAGGCTTTTGGTTCGTAGGGAATCAATGCAGTGTTGGGATTTAAATCCTAGTGTCTGGTGACAATGGTACCAAGATCTCCTAGAAGCTCAGTCCTGCTCTGGACACACATCCTGCGTCCAGTTGGTCCTGGGATGGGCCCCATTCCGCCTCACTTACCCGGGCCCCACAGTGCGCTGCGATCTCCTCAAAGGGCGCCTTCTGGAACTTCTCCACCACCTGTCGCCGCCGTTCCCGCTCTTGCTCCTCAACAGCCACGCTGTCCACTGTGGCAGAGAGCCTGGTCAGCACGTGGGTCCTGCCCACTGATGCGGTCCCAGATGGCCACTAGCTTTCCCCTCTGCCGACGAGGGGCAGGGTGGCACGGAGGGTGCAGTGCCATCACTTGGTCCTGGGAGGGCTAGACCCTTTCCTGATTCTGCCCGAGAGCTCAGCCCCCTTCCCTGAGAGTCTGAAAACTAGTTAAGTAGACCCTTAATCGGGGCTAAAGCTCCATGTAGCTGCACTTGCTACTGGGACTTTCTCTCTTTTTTTTTGGTTTGTCCTATTCGGAATTTTATTTCAAAATGATGATTCACTTCCCCACTCACATAAATGTATTGTACATTCCCACTCCTTTGAGACTTTAAATGAAATGTTTTCATCTTTATCAAGAGTTAACTGACATATAACATGGTATAATTTTAAAGCACCAGATGTTATGATTTGATACAGATATGTATTGTGAAATTATTACTACAATAATTTTATAAATAATTATAACATATCTGCCACTGGGACTCTTAAACTAAGTTTCTGGAGCAGGGTACTATGGGGGTAACATGAAAAGGGACATTAACAATGGAAAAGACAATGAAAAACCCCTAAGGCAGAGCAGTCTGAGGCCATTTAGTTTAAGGCTTCTACATATTCCTCATGGCCTCCAAAATGAAAAAAAGATATATATAGAGAAAGGTATGAAGTATGTTCATCATGCCCAGCTTAAAAATACAGAGCAGTGAAACATTCAGAAAGAGTACCAAGAATGATGACAAAAATAAACATTTGTTATCAGCAGAAAAATTCTCTAATTCGGGATACTTTACTAACCAATAATTCAGATGAGGTAATAATACTGCATTTTAAAATCCACTGCCATTATTATGTATTAATAGGATTTGGTCTTAATAGCTTTCATTGATCAACTTGCTCTTTTGTATCATACGCCACCAAAAAAATTGTCAAAGTATTTACACAAATTAAAATTCCTTTTTTACTGTTTGATTGGCCATAACCCTCAACCAGATACTTTTAACGGCAACCGTTAGTAGAAAAAGGGTTCCTGGCATAGGACACTGACCCCTGTTAAGAGGGGGGACTTTTAATTGCAGCTTTGGTAGTTGTGAAGAGTTTAGAGGAAACTGCCAGACTCTCCCCTGACATCTGTGTGAACCACGCTTGGGAGGGCAGCAGACAAGTCTTAAGCACAGCCACACACACCCCAGGACCCAGTCCCACCTGCCTCTCCTCGGGGACCTCCCACTCACCAATGGCCTTCTTCAGCGTCTCGTAGGTGATCTCCTCGGCAGGCACTCGCTGTGGGAAAAGGGAGAGAAGTGCACAGAATGCTCAGGAAGGTGGAGAAGGGGAGGGAGGAGGCGGCAGCCTCAGCTTCCTCAGTTACCTGGTAGCCCCTTCACTTCTCAGAAGACTGTCCCAATGGGCAGAAACTCCCTCAGGACGCCCGCATTCTTGCCAGGGTCTCTGGAAGCTCCGTGCCTCTAAGCAGGCACAGACCCGCTAACTGGAGGGGAGCAGTGAGCGATGGAGGCCATTCCTCATGAGCCACCAGTCTCACCTGAAGGAACTCACTGTCCCTTCCCTCTCCTCTCCCTCCTCCCAGAGAGTCCGCTTAAGTCCCCTGGGAAGAAAGCACTGTAATTCAAACAAGTTTTCAGAAAAATGTCACAGAAAATATTCAAAACAAGAGAAGGCGGTTAGCAAACATAATCTCCTATGAAAATTTCAAAAACTGACTAACATTTTTGTTCCCTTGTGGCTCAGCTGGTAAAGAATCATCTGCAATGCAGGAGGCCTGGGTTCAAGCCCTGGATTGGGAAGATTCCCTGGAGAAGGGAAAGGCTACCCACTCCAGTATTCTGGCCTGGAGAATTCCATGGACTGTCTAGTCCATGGGGTTGCAAAGTCGGACATGACTGAGTGACTTTCACAACAACAACATATGTGTAGGATTCGCGGCGAGTCACTCAATTGCAACTGCAAAATATGTTATCGTAGAGAACAATTGTTTTACTCTGAAGACTCATTCACTCTGAAGGTTTATTCTTTGTATGTACATTCATCCATCCGTTCACCCATCCATCCACTGTCAGTATTGACCAACATCAGGTGGAGACAGGGAACCATGCGGTAGTGAGAGAATAAAGGAAGACAGATCACAGGCTAAGGGCAGGTAGAGAGCAGCTGATGGAGGAGGTGGGCCACAAGCTGGGCACTGAAGAAAGGGAGATTCATGAATGTGGAGGTGGAGAGGAAGGGTGATTGCAACATGGGATTCCATACTAGCAAAGACACGGAGATGAATGAGATAGCAGGGGGGAGACTGAATACAGACCAGCCAGACAGGAGGGGAGATGAAATGGCCAGGCACCCCTGATTCCAAATGGCTCTGAATGCCAGGCACTGGGTTGGGAATTTGACCAAACCAGCATTTGTTGATCACCTGCTACGAGCCCGGTATTTGAGGGTTACAGGGAGTCACCGAGGGACTCTGGAGGAGTGGGGAAGGGGTATGGTGGGCTGGCTTGTAAACCTGGCTTGTGACCCCCCTCCCCCATCAGCTTCTCTCTACCTGTTCTTACCCAGTGATCTGTCTTCCTTTACGCTCTCACTACCCCATGGTTCCCTATCACTTCACCTGTGAATATCTGATGTTGGTCAGTACTGACAGCAGATGGATGGGTGGATGGATGGACAGACAAAGAATAAACCTTCAGAGTGAATGAGTCTTCAGAGTAAAAGTGTAAAAGGAAGTGGAAAAGCGTGGCAGAGGGTGGAGGCCCCCACATCTCTGCTCTAGCTACTCAGACATACCTGGGCTGAGCTGACTCTCAAAGAGGGGGAGGAACCCGTGTCAGTGACAGGGAGGCCAGCAGGGAGCAGGTGGCTGTGTACCCAGAGGAGTATTTCTCTTCCTTCTGCTGCTTTACTTTATTTATCCTTTTCTAAGGGTCTCTCGACTCTTGGGAAGGAAGAATTATAACTACAGAGGGGACAGCAGCCAACTACACTGTGGTCCTAACATGTGTGAGGCTTCCAGACCTGCAGAACCAGAAGGGCCTTGGAGGACACCTGGCTCAACCTCATTCCGCTTCTTCAATTAGCCCGAGTCAGAGCTTCCTTCCTTCCATGGGCTTCCAGACAAGCCTCGAAAAGCCCTGCCCTGGAGGTCTGCCCCAGTAACTGAGGAGTTGAAGGAATGGCTGAGGGCATGGTTGGGGGAGGCTTGATCTTGATCCCATTGATTTGTCTTTGCCCCAAGTCCACTGGGGAGAGGCTGGGTGTCCAAGCTGCCCTCCATGGCTATGCCAGGCTGTTCTTGCTGAAGGACCCTGCACATCTTGTCCCAATTCCACCCAGATGTATGTCCTCCTTACTTCTTGCTAAGATCCTTCTCATCTCTATTAATTCCCTTAATTGGCAGTGAAGTGTGAAAGTCACTCAGTCGTGTCCAACTCTTTGCCACCCCATGATTATACAGTCCATGGAATTCTCCAGGCCAGAATACTGGAGTGGGTAACCTTTCCCTTCTCCAGGGGATCTTCCCAACTCAGGGATCGAACCCAGGTCTCCCGCATTGCAGGCGGATTGTTTACCAGCTGAGCCACAAGGGAAGCCCTTAATTGACAGAGTCACCATTAAAAGCATCTGTACTGTGGGGAGGGGATAAATTGGGAGATTGGAATTGACATATACACACTACTATATACGAAATAGAAAATTAATTAGGACCTACTGTATAGCATGGGAACTATACTCAATACTCTGTAAAGGCCTATATGGGAAAACAATCCAAAAAAGAGTGGATATATGCATATGTACAACTGATTAATTTTGCTGTACAATGGAAACTAATACAACATTGTAAATCAACTACACCCCAACAAAAAAAACTATAAGAAAAACAAGAGTACTGTGTCCTGAAGCTTCTGCTCCCCCGGGAGGCCTTTCTCCCTCCTCTCTGCCCTGCCCCCATTTCTTTCTCATTTGAGGGAGTAAATTTGGTATTTCCACCAGGACTCCTTATTCTCTCTTACTTGTGGGTACATCTGCTTTATTTTATGAGGCAGAAGTAATTATGGCAGAAGAGATATCACATGTTAATTTAAACAGAAGAGATGATAGAAGAAACAGCAATCTTTAAGCCACATCATTCTCTTTAAAAAGCACCTTTCTTGACATATATGGAAGAGACATTGTGAAAGCTATTTTTGCCTTCATCTTCTGCCTGAGGCCTTCCAATTTCCAACACGGATCAGGTTTACCTCCATTGTGAATGGGGAATGACAACCAGCAAACCTTTCAAGACTGATTTTTAGAACATCCTCATGGGAGTGTATGGAGGTTCAATTACTTTTTCCAGATGGATGGAAATGTCTAGGATATATATGATGAGAGTCAGAAAGAAAACAGCACTTACTTGAGAAATTTACCTTCCATGCATCCTTAAATGCATAGTGCAGTTAAGGGGGCTGGATCATGGAGTGTCTGACCACCTGATCAAAAAGGACACTCACCTCCTCCTTCTCTGGGCTGTTTCTCGATTCCACCTCCACCTGCAGGGAAATGGTCTCTCCAATGCTCTTCCTCTTGGATAAGCGATCCTCATCTGGGAAAAGAGAAGCCTGGAAGCTACAGTCCCCCAGCCCGGGAGAGGGAGCCAGAAGCATGCCTCCAGCACCATCTCCCATCTTCCCGTCCTCCCTCCCCCAACCCCTCCTGGCTTGGCTGGGTCCTCGGAGGGTTCAAAGGGATTTATACCCTGAGGGCTACAGCTGGAGTTTATAGAAGACTGAGCGACTTCTTTGCCCCTCTTAGGCTGGTGAGTTTTGTTCTTTAGAGCTAAGATTTTGCAATCATTGATGAGCACAAAGAAGCTGCTTATGACCAGAAAGCATGGGCGTCGCCTGCTAACAGCTCCAGCCGCTGTCATTTGCATAGCATTTGCTCCTACAGGCATTCGTGTCTTCCCTCTAAGGCAGGTATTGTTAACATTCCTATTTTACAGCCAAGGCAACTGAGACTCAGAGATGCCAAGGGACTCAGCTAAGAATTTTCAGGAGGGAAGCTGCAGAGAATTGGGTCTCTGACTCCGCAGTCCATGGGCGCTCTTTACAGCACAGTGGGGGCGTCTCCCACGCACAAGCCAGGCTGTCTTTTGGGCCAGTTACTCCAAGGACCCTGCACGGAGGGGCAGAGGTGGGGACGTTGAGGATCTCACCACGGAGTCCCAGTGTGACATCCAAGTTGCCGTAGAAGGTGACGGAAGAGCTCACAGGTCCCTTCCATTCCTGCCCTTACCTGGCCAAGAAAAGCCAGAGGCAGGCTTGGAAGTGCTCGAGCAAGGCTCCTACCTGTCAGCTGAGGGATGTAGGGCACGCAAAGCCTGTCGGCATTGTAACCACTGCCACCCAGGACTTCACTGATCTTGCTCTGGCGGAAGAGCAGCTCAATCACCACTCCATCAAGGTTGTGAGTCAGCCTGGGAGACAGACACGGGGGAGAGGCACGTGAGAGCCCTGGGTAACAGGCCGACTTCCGGATGCCCTTCCTTATTATAAATGTAACACTCAAGGGAGTGCCCTGGTGGCCCAGTGGTTGGGATTCCAGGTTTTCACTGCCATGGCCTGGGTTCAATCCCTGGTTGGGGAACTCAGATCCTGCAAGCTGTAGCAAGTAACACTTATTATACGAAATGAAAGACGAGTGAAAGGAAAAAAAAAAAAAAACCATCTGCAGTCCCACTTCCCAGAGAAAACCATATCCATATTTTGTGTAGGCTCCCTCAGTCATACACATTTATGCACACATGCAAACATTCCCCTACCCTCCATAGTCCTGTTCCAGGACCTATTTTATTCACCTAGTATGCACTGACTATTTCACATGAACTACTCTTCCAAAACATTGTGGGTGGGCTACCAGTTGTCTAATGGTATGGACAGGCCATAATTTATAAAGCCATCCTTTATTGTGGGATATTTTGTTTTTGCAGAATATCTTTTCCTTGAGTTCCCCTGATGTTGAAGTGACGCTGGCCCACAGACTACAGTCTTGAGAAGGCTGCTTGGATTGGTGGAGTGCCTTCTCCAGGATGTGCTCCCCTGGGCTTGGCCAAAGTATCTAGAGGCTCTATCCCATACTTGATCGTACAGCATGCTGAGACAGCTCAAGGCGGGGATCACAGTCATGTGAGGGGGATTAAACTTGACCCAGGACTTCTGCGTCACAGGCAGGGTCCTTTTTCTGCCTGTGAGCCCATAGAAGCCCGAGTCCCTGGCCTCAGGTCACCCACTTTCTTGCTCAGATGCCCTGGGTGTTTTCTTGACCGTGTCCCCGCTGTGATCCTTACCTGGGCCTCTCCACAAACACGTCCTCCGGAAGCATATATGGGGCCTCTTTCTTCCTGGTCTCTATCACCTGAGGTTTGGGAGGAATTGAGAGAGGAGCTGGGTTCAGTGGGGAGAGGGAGATGCAAACGGGCCAAGAAAAGAGCTCCCGCCCCAACAGAGTACTTCCTCTCTCCCACGCAGTCCCTGGCAGAGCCTCCAGAGCTGGGGGAGAAACTCAGACCACCCAGGACCTCGGGGCAGCTCAAGAAGCCCAGGAGGACTGCTCAGGCTGTCTGCAGTGACACACACGCACTGAATGTCCTCCATAGACAGGGCACTTTGCTCCCAGGAGAGTTCAGTGTCTTGCTCCCATGTCCTATTCCTGTTTTCTGTTTATGCGTGAGAGAGGAAGCAGATCGCACTGTTCCCAAAACCCACAGGCACCCAGAGCATCCTGATGGAAAGCGACACAGTGAGTTTCCCTCATCATCCTTTGCAAATTTTTGACAAGAAAAGTGACAGCTATTAAGATGGTGAGAAGTGGGAGGACAGTTGGCAACAAAGTACGTGCAGGAGGTGAGGAAGCCACGAGGCAACTATTTGTACTGAAGAGGATGTCAGCATTGCTTTTCCTGTCCTCCTGGATCAGCCCACGGCTGGCAAGGTCCTGCTTCCTTCAGGGTGGTCTTTGGCACAGCAATACAGCATTTTCCTCCATGCCCCCCAGCCGGTCAGGTTAGCCGAGACCTCGGCTTTCTTGTTTACTTTTGTGTGGCTGGTGTATTTTAAAGTTAATCCTACATATGATATCATTCTACCTATACACAGTTCAGTATGTTTTAAAATGTCTTTTTGCAATAACTGAGAACATTGGATTGTAGACTGGCTATAAGACAATACCAAGGCATAATCAGTCATTTAATTAACAATTTTATTATGTAAATAGCAGAGCAATTGAGCAGGAAGGTGTCCATATTTTTTTAGATATGAATACTGATGTATTTAGAGGTGAAACGATGTGATAATCAAGGTTTTTTTAAAGCATATTTCAGCAAAGGAAAAGAAAAAGAGACAGATGAAGCAAATGTGGAAAAACCTTCCTAAGTGTTTAATCTGTGTGATAGCTGTGTGGATGTTCACTGCCCTACTCACACTGCTTTTGTGATATTTGAGAACTTTCACAACAATAACATTTTTTAAAAGTAGTTTCAGTCCCAGATGACCTGAGAGGTGTGTACATGTGTGCTTCTGGGGGTGAGGGGGGCATAGAGGGGCAGGAAGTAGAGGGGGGCAGGTAGCAGGCTGGGAAGAGGTACAGGATACTGACTATGTCTGATTGCACCCTGCTATGTCATGCCCTGCAGCAGAAGATGCTCTGCTGGGGATTTCTCATCATTAATTCTCATGCCTAGACTAAGCACAGAGCTCATACAATTCAGCAAAAGGTTTTTCTGGGGAAGCCCCAAGTCAAGGGCCTCCTGAGCTCTTGGGGTCATGAGGACACCAACCTCATGGATGTGCTGGCAGAAGGCAGGCACCGTCGTGAGTTGGCTGATAAGGTTCAGGTAAGCGGCGCCCAGTGCGTAGAGGGCACAGCGGTTGTAAACAGGCAGGTTCTCTTCATTGACCTGGGCCACATCCTGGGACAAGACAGAGGGAACAACCCACTGTCCAGAGGGTGCCCACTCTCCACCAACCTCTCCCAACCTCCCTTAGAGATGACCCACCACTCTAGACGAAGTCTCTCCCCGCATTTGTCCCATAACCTTCTGGGGGACAGAAGTCACTGAAGCAAACGGTCCCTAGAACAATCCATGAGTTGGATGCCCATAAATACTCAAGTGGAGAAGCGATAACCTCAGTGCCCCACTTTGCAGTTCCAGCTGTAGCAACCTTGATTGTCCAAACCCTCATGAATCCCCACTTCAAGGATGCTGTCTCCACTACAGACCTTGGATAATTCTTGGAGGACTGGATTGGTTTGCTATGCTGGATTCACACGTTAAACTGACAAAGCTATGAGAGTTACTAGGGGCTGGGACACAGAGGAATCTCACATTCTAGAATGAAGACTCTTATAGCATCTGGGTTGGTCTTGCAGGATTTAGTACCATCAAGCAGGTAGCTAAAGAGTCTCTGTGACAGAATTCTCGGGTTCACCACTATTCAGAATATGATGCCCACTTAGCTTCAGGACCCTGTGGACCCTGGCCTTTGAGGTCTTAAGAACCTACTTCAATTCTTAACATCCTGGGGAGTGTACTTTCACCCAGGCAGACCTTGGAAGTCTAAACCATGTCTAGTGCCACACTGGCTGCCTGAGAGTCATGACGGGGGCTTGTTGAATCTCTAGGTCCCCGAGCTTGGGTTCAGTATGGGGATTATATATTTTTAGCAAGTGCTAAGGCAATTCTGAAAGCACAGCTAGTTTTGGGAACCAGGTGACGTTTACACAAACAAATTTGTTTGGGAATCACTGCTTCCCTGGTAGCTCAGCTGGTAAAGAATCCACCAGCAATGCAGGAGACCCCAGTTCAATTCCTGGGTTGGGAAGATCCCCTGGAAAAGGGATAGGCTATCCACTCCAGTATTCTTGGACTTCCCTGGTGACTAAGATGGTAAAGAATCTGCCTGCAATGAGGGAGATCTGGGTTTGATTCCTGGGTTGGGAAGATCGCCTGAAAGAGAGCATGGCAACCCACTCCAGTATTCTTGCCTAGAGAATCTCCATGGACAGAGGAGCCTGGCGGGCCACAGTCCATAGGGTCACAAAGAGTTGGACTAAGAGTTGGACTGAGCGACTAAGCACAGCACCAGGCTATGAGTACTCTCTTAGTAATCTATGAAGTCTCATTCAGACCTTGCAAGAGACCTGAAATACTACGGGTGAAGTGATGTTTTTGAAAGATCCTGTTCCCTGGGTCTCCTTTACTCTGAGGATGGGTCAAAGCCATGAATTCAGCATTCTTTGGTGGTTACCCCAACAGGACCATGGTTTGTGGTCTTCAGAGGCATGGCCGATTAAGGGCACAACATACCTGGGCTCCAAAACACAGTAGTTAAAACAGTGGCCACTTGGCACTCTCATTAGTGCTCAAACAGGTCCCCTCCCCTGACCCTAACCTCTGTGTCCTGCCCGCACCAGGCCCCACCTGGACGGCCAGCACCAGGCGGATGAGGTCCACCACCACCTCCTCATTGGCCAGCTCGATGCTGATGAGTGCCAGCAGGCCATAGAGCGCCTCGTAGTGCTTCTGTAGGTTCGTTTCCTCCTTACAGCTCAGGTAGATGTGTCTGTAGAGCTGCTGGGAGTGCTGGAGAAGTGGGTGAGGGTGGGGGCAAGGCCACGGTGGATGGGGACAGGAGGGGTCAAGGGCATGGAAGAGCAGTTTGAAGGGGGTGACGCAGCTCCACCTCCTTCCTCCTGTAGCCCCCCTCCGTCCTCAGGGACAGGATACCTTTACAGTAGACCCCAATGGAATGGAGCACACGCAGGAATATGTGCTTAGGGAAGGTGGGGCCAGTGAAACCAGCAACAAAAGCTGCCGCCCAAACACAGGGGAAGATGGTCAAGCGATGGTCTTCCTCTGGCTTGGGATGAGTATGAACTGGGGGCTTGATTCCCCAGAGGGATCGGCTGGTCATTCTGACTAATCATAGTCAGAGAGGAGGAAGCGGGCTCTGTAGGCATGGCCAGTGGTGATGGCCGCTGGGGGCTCAAGGCTGGGGTCCACAGGGCCTGACCCACCCAGGTTTCAATGTGTCTTGAGGACACGCTTGCTCACCTTCTTCATGAAGATGGTGTCCTGCCGGGAGCACTTGTCCACTTTCAGCTTCAGAATAGAGATGTCACTGAGGGTGCTGTGGGGGGACAAGAGGGGTCACCTGAGACCTGGGGTGAGGCCAGCAGGGCTCATGTGGTATCCCTGGGCTCTGCCCCAGTCCTTAGCTGTACTAATGTCTCCCTGTGTCTTCCCACCCAGGTTCTTAGCCTGATTGCCACTTTCTCTCAAGTTCTCAAGCTCCTGTCTCATTTTTAAAAAACTGATCCAGATTACCTTCTCCCTCACTTTCTTTCCTCCCTTTCAGCCCCCAGGCTACTGATGACCCTGCATCCTCTTCTTCCCTTCCTACCAAAGAGCTCCCGTGAGTACCTGCTGTTTATCTCCCAAATCTCCACTCCCTCCTTCGCTTTCTTAGACACAAGCACCCTTTCAGTCTCCTTCCCTTGCAAGAATCCTGGGTCCACGTCCATGGTCAACTCCTTGGTGAGGGGTCCCCACTGAAGATCTGCACTGTCCTCCCACCTGAGGGTGAGACCCTAATGGGAGCCTTCTCCCCCATCACATATCAAATTGCGGCGGGGGGGAGACCCCAAGTTCACCTGATGGTAGAGAACTTGTGACGGTTGCCATGACGATCAATGAAACTGATGAGAATCTCTAGAACGAAGAGACGGATCTCTGCGTCCTCCATGAGGGCGGTGGAGAGAAGGCGGTCAAGGAAGTTGCTGGGCAAAGCTGACATCATGTTGTTGCTCTGGAAGCCAGTGGATACCTGCAAGGGAGCCCGGGACTGCATGCCTAGGAATACTGGTCCTCCTGGCAGCAGGGAGGAGATGGAGAAACAGCCAGCAGAAGCTGGGTCCCAGGCACCCATCATCTCTAAACATCCCCCAGTCCAGTTCCCCCTGTCCTTCACCTTAGGCAGCTTTGGGGAACCCTCCATCATCTACTGAGGCAACCTGCCAGCTCACTTTAGCTGAGCAGATGGGGACAGTATCCAGGGACATTAAACTGCTAAAAGCAAGCAGAGGATGAGCATTGGAGGGGAGCAAGGAGCCAGAGAGTATCTGAATCTAAAGTTCCAACCCATAAGGCACACACAGTGAATGTTCACCATGAACACACTTCATCAGGAGCATGAACAGCCATAAAGAAAAGGAGAGATAGCGGAAGAACTTACAGCTGGGTTGGCGAATTAGAACCCACAGACATAGTCACAGTCAGAGAACACACATAGAGTTTGTTTACACCTCTTCTAGCTAGGCCATGATGGTGGTCTTTGGATTAAAGCCTGTTGGCATACTGAGACATCTCATCTGCGATGTTGTCAAAAAACAGCCAAACAGATTTACTGTTAAGTCCATATTGCAAAACAATGCCTGTGATGATTCAGCAGGCCCTTGAGGCTCTGGTAAAGCCTAGTGGCATCAGTGTTCACTGAAGGGGGATGTATTTAAGGTGTGTCCCCAACCATCACCTTGGTAAGATGCTGGGTACAAAATTAACCAGGGTAAACTCAGCAAAGAAATGGCAAGAATACATAGACCAAGGAGGTAGCCAGATGAGGGTATCAGTAGAAAAAGCCTTTCTAATAAGGGGTGACATGAAAGGTGTGGGCTGGGAAGTGGGGACGGAAGGCCTGATCAGGAGCAAGGGGGCTGTGCCGACTAGCATGGTTAACACAAAGACAGGTTGAGGGATGATATGGAGGTTCTAGGGAGGGAATGGGTACTGAGGGCCTTCAGTCTGAGAAATTCGATGTCTGGATGTACATCAATTGAAAACTGAGATCCACTCTTTAACAAGGAGCAATCCATGAGGAACAACATTTCTAGAAAATTCTTCTTGGTTGTATTTAAGATAGGTAAGGAGGGAGGGAGTAACCAAGAGAGTAATCTAGTTGTGAAATGTCCAGAGTTTAGGCCAGGGCTGTGCACAAAAATACCTGCGGCGCTTGTTATAAATACACATTCTAGGACCTCACTCAAACTGATGGTTCAAAGTCTCTAGGGAATCTATATATTAAACAAGCTGATCATGGGAATGGCATTTGAGAACAATAAATCTAGGCTCCAGTGATGGCTGCAAAGATGGAAGGAAGACAAATGCAAAAATATTGCTAAATGGAGGGTGGGGGCGGAGATTCCCTGGTGGTCCAGTGGTTAGTTAGCACTTGGCACTTGGCACTTTCACTTTTGGGTCCCAGATTCAATCTCTGGTCAGGGAACTAAAGTCTTGCAAGCCATAATTGCATGGCCAAAAAACTTTTAAAGATAATTTTAAAATTAAATTACCTAAAATAATTATAATTATTATTTTTAAAAAAACTGATAAAGGTAAAGATGGTGACTGAGAGACTGAGGTGTGCATAAATGCCAAAGGAGAAACAGGTGGAGGGCACCTGGTGAGATACCTGGAAGGAGAAAGAGCAGGAACCAGTAGATTCCATCTCAATACAGAGAAGGTTTGAGTGACAAGACCATCAGTATCTGAGAAGGTACCTTTGTGAAAGTTAGAAACAGGTGTCCTGCCTGCTCTGGATGACCTAGCCTTGTGGGTGCCCAGCCTGCCTAGTGAGTGGAACACAGGTTAGATTTCAGTCCCCTACTCACCCCTCTGGCTGGATATGTTTGTGCAGTGTGCAACCTGTACAATAGAAAGTGGCAGCCTTCTCTTGGTCCCTTGGAAGGAGCTGCCTCCTGCGGAGGCAGAGCAGGAATGGGGACAGGAGAGGCTTACCTGAAGGAGGGATTTCAGCAGCATAATCTGGGTCAGTCGGTTCCTGTTCTCCCTATAGAGCAGAGATACAGATGATCACCAGGATGGTAGTACAGATACAGAAGACCCCACACTTGTGTGCCCAGTGCTCTCTTGTGATTAGATTCTCCACGAGGCTAAACCTGTTGGGTTACCCAGGACAGTGACTTCCAGAGGAATGATGCTGACCAGCTGGTGGTAAAGAACCCGCCTGCCATTTCAGTACACATAAAGAGATGCAGGTTCAATCCCTGGGTCGGGAAGATCCCCTGGAGAAGGGCAGAGCAACCCACTCCAGTATTCTTGCCTGGAGAATCTCCATGGACAGAGAAGCCTGGTGGGCTACAGTGCATGGGGTCACAGAGAGTAGCACACGACTGAAGCGACTTAGCACACACACCCCTCAAGGTGGGAGATTGTTACTGATGGGACAGTCAGTGGAGTTACGTAGGATCCAAAGGCCCATGAAAGGCTGTGGAGGGATTTGAGAGCAGAATGAGAGAAGATATGTGAGAGCAGAACCAGGGAAGTTAAGGTGGAGGAGGAAGACAGCCCAGAAACGTGGGAAGGGGAGTTGGCGGAATCCAAGAAGGGAGAAGAAAGTAGGGTAGACTCACCCAGTCCTCCCTGTCTCCATGGGATGGTGCAGGGAAGGCAGCGGAACCTTGCTCATGATGAAGAGGATCACCTCGGAGCGCTGGTAAGTAGGCAATGTGCTGGCAAAGGAGCCTGCGGGGAAAAGACAGAGGAGAGGGTTGGCTCTTGTAAGGCTGGCAGCTGCGGGGGGAGTCCCTGCTCAGCCTTTCAGCCAAACAAACTACTGTGAGGAGTGCCAGCTGACTCTTCCAGGCTCCCATCCCTTGACCTGTTATTCCCGTGGCTATGGTGAAGGCCTGTGGGACCTAGAGGGGACGCTCCAGTGGCACTGGAACAGGAAGACTCTGAGGCCTTACAATTATGTGTGGACTTCAGAGTTCTCCCCTTCGATATCCATGTGCATACCCACAGTTTCCTCCCTGTCCTCTTTCCTTCCTTTTGTCTTTCTTTCTCTCACCTCCCCTCCAATACTTTGGCCACCTGATAGAAGAGCTGACTCATTTGAAAAGACCCTAATGCTAGGACAGATTGAGGGCAGGAGAGAAGGGGACGACAGAAGATGAGATGGTTGGATGGTATCACCGACTCAATGGACATGAGTTTGGGTAAACTCTGGGAGTTGGTGATGGACAGGGAGGCCTGGCGTGCTGCAGTTCATGGGGTCACAAAGAGTCGGACATGACTGAGCGACTGAACTGAACTGAACTGAACCTGTCCAATCGCTCAGACATGGAAGGATCAGGCAGGCCTAATGGGGACTAGGGTGCAAGAAGAGTTCACCTCTGTTAGCCTCTGATCTGAACTCCAGGCTGAGAAACCCAGGGAGATTGTTCTGTGATCTAACTCAGGCCTGGCCCCAGGGATGCTGTGAGCTGTGTGCACTGTGTGCTGACTCCACTTCCTCCAGTGTCCGTGCATTAACACGAAGTGCGAGGGTGCGTGCTTAGTCTATCAGCCGTGTCCGACTCTTTTCGACCCCATGAAAGGCAGCCCGCCAGGCTCCTCTGTCCATGGGGATTCTCCAGGCAAGAATACAGGCAAGAATACTGAGTGGGCTGCCATGACCTTCTCCAGGGGATCTTCCCCAGCCCAGGGATCGAACCCAGGTCTCCTGCATTGTAGGCGGATTCTTTACCAGCTGAGCTACCAGGGAAGCCCTAACGCGATGTTGAGTGGATGACAAACCTACAAGGCCAGGGACTAACATCCTTGGGGGAATGGGGACTGCCCATCTGCCCCTTCTTCAGCAGGTCTAGCCCGGTCGACTCCCCCCGCCACTCCCAGGTCCCGCCCCTCCCGGGGCTCACCTATGGTCTTGATGACTGCCTCCTGGAACATGCGCTCTTCGTGTTCCTTGATGATCTTGGTGCCGAGGCTGATGGCCCCGTCGTAGCTCCCAGTCAGAGCGTAGTCGATGCTGAGCCGCAGCTGCCTCAGCAGAGTGTTGAACATCTCCAGCACCGTGGGCCCTGAGCGTAGCGGGGTGGGAGACCTGACATCTGGGGCTGACACTCCTGGCTCACTGTCCCCTGCCCAGGCTTACTGGGCAAGCCTAGGCCCACTTCCAGCCAGGGGCTTCCTCTGACCCCCCACCTTCCCCGGCTGAGTTCTCCTCCTGGATAACTGCTCTGACACCTCCCTACCCTTGCCTTTTTCTGGAAGGAGGGACAGCCCACTGCTAAGGGCAGTTCTTCATCCTTGAGGGGGTTCCCAGCCCCGGTTCCGCTCAAGATGCCCCCCTTACCCACAGAGCCGGTGGCGGCGATGACGGCAGCTTCCGACAGGACCTCCACGATGCCCGCCCGCACCGTGGCCGCGCTGCGGCTGTTGGCATCCAGGTGGCTCAGGAGCTGCTGGATAACCAGGTGGGAGTGCTGCGGCTGGGGGGGAGGAAGACGTGCTGGTCCCCAAACAGCAACCCCCCACGTGGCCTCTGAGCCAGGGCAGCCCTCCAGGAGGACCCAAGGTTGTGTGGACAGAAAGTGAGGTCCCAAAGCTAGCGGGCACTAGAGGGGGCGCCCAAATACCCTGGCTCCTCTTCCTAAGTCTCTCCCCCCTCCGTGGTCCAAGGAGGAGTTGAGTCAAATCCCAATGAAGACTTGGATTTCCACGTATTTCCTGGGCCCTTTCACTTCAAGTGGGTCAAAAGTCAGTTTAAAAATACTGTCTTCCTTTTCATTTCCCCCAGGTCCCAGGTCTTAAAGTAAGGGCCACAAGCGGTCACATGGTTTAATCCAGTGCTGCTCAAAGTGTGGCTGATGGTCTGGTGCCAATTCAAGATCTGTCTGATGCCCATTTACATTGAGCTAAGGACAGAAATTGAGAGTAAGTGTTGAGTAAGCAATCTGACAAAGCCATGGCAGCCAGTTACGGTCTGTGGGTTTATATTTAGCATGAGGCTTTTCACTTACTTTTTCTAGGAATTCTTTTTGTGTTTTATAAAGCATAAGTCTCTGACATATTAGAAATAAAATGTTTTAAACCAGTCCTTCTCCACGACTAGGCCAAGCAGCACCAGTTCAGATGACTAGGGGCTGGTTTTCTCCAGGTGTGCACCATCCCGCTCCCTGGGGTACCCTTGACCAAGGGGACAAGCTGAACCTGGAGAACCATCATACCTGAATTGAGTACATGATGATTTTAAAGCAACGGATGGCGAACACCTTGGGTTCCCAAAGAGAATGGTTATCCAGATGGCTGTGAGGGAAAAAATGTGGAGAGTAACTATGAAATGCAGGTGATGTGAAGAAGGAGGAGAAGTCTTGGTGGGAACATAACCTGTCCTGAGAGACCCAGTCCCTCTTGAAGCTTCCAGGTAAGTAGCAAGGGCTTTCAGGTGCAGGTGAGAGAACCATGAGAAGTCAAGAAACAGGGTCTGTGGCTGTGGACTTAGGAATGAAGCCGAGTGCCTTCCTTTAGCCTTGGGACTCCTGCCAACTCCTCTCCCCAAAACTGTGATTGGCCACTACGTGGTAGCTTTTGATGCCACAAAGCAGAAGAATGTGGGCACAGAGAAGGGACCAACTTGGCTGCAGCCCCTCAACTGTGACACCTGCTTCCTTCCTCCCGAGTCAGCAAGGAGGTGCTGGACCTGAAACAGTTCAAAGCTGGAGGCCGGTGGGCAGGGAAGGGGAACACTCACATGAGAACAGGCTTGATGGCGTTTTTGATGTTGCCAAAGGCAGCCCGGCCCAGCAGTTCCCGAAGGCACCTCTCAGCTAGCTCTGCCGGGTTCTCTTTCTCCTTCTCTGGTGCTTGGAGAGGGGAGGGGGACCGGCTGCGGAAACACACAGCCCGTGGGTGAAGAAGGATGGAATGCACAGTCTGAGAGTCAGCTTTGTGCAGGCTTCCTGTGCTTCCCTCATGCAAATGGACCCAGGAGGACAAGCAGGAACTTGATGTAGGCTGTGCAAGGTCACAGGGAGATGACAAAGCTCTCAGAAGTTGAATGGGGTAAGGAAGCCCAGAGTGGAGAAAGATGGTGGGAGGAGGGATAAAGTTCTTTTTCTGGACACCCTAGGGATAGACCTGATGGGTCTCTATGGGAAGGAAGGTGCCCTGAGCACCATGGACCTGGGGAGGTGCAGACCATAGGTATCTCCATGTCCCCAAGGCTTTGGAAGGGACAAGAGATGAGATAAGAGAGGGATGCAAGCAGAGTTGAAGAAAGCAAAAGAAGAGGGGAGAGAGGAGGGAGGGCAAAAATCAGGAGGGAAAAAAAGAAAGGCTCAGGAGGGAAAAATGGGTGCTGGCTTGGGTGTGACTCAGTGGTACCCGAGTCACAGGGAGTGGGCTCAGATCTGGACAGGAGTCCCAGGATTCCTCATCCTTAGACCACCTGAGACCACCAAGGAGCTTGTCAGAGATAATGCTATTCCAGGAACAACCACCAGAGGGCATACTAAATTTCCCAACCAGCTCTAGTAACACAGTATCAACGGAAAGAAAGTGGGGAACTCAGATCTTCACTTGGTGTCACGCACAGCGGAGGTGGACAGCACCAGGAACCTTTCTCTCCATCCCATTTCACAGAGGGAAAGAGCAAGTGGCATGAACAGGATGAATTCATGTCTGGGGGTTCCCAGATTAAAATCTAATATCTGGAGCTCATGTCAAATGGCTGCTGGCTGCTGGGCATTTTTTAAGGACCTGAAATATCATTAGGAAGTGAGGGAGATGAAGGGCCCTCTTCAGCAAATTGAACCATGTTGTTCAGTTGCTAAATCAAGTCCGATTCTTTGCAACCCCATCAACTGCACCAGGCTCCTCTGTCCTTCATTATCTCCTGAAGTTTGCTCAAACTCTTGTCCATTGAGTCAGTGATGCCATCCAACCATCTCATCCTCTGCCACCTGCTTCTCCTCTTGCCCTAACTCCCAGCATTGGGTTCTTTTGGCATTTAAAAACCTCTTTGTCCTGCTGCTTCTTGAAAGACCGAGGAAACCCGACTCTTGGTTTTTTGTGTTCAGCACACACTCACCCCAGGGAGCCCAGCACCATCACTGCTTTTCCTTCAGGAATTCAGACCTTAGGGGGTACAGAGGGCTAGCAGAAGGACAGAGCCAACGTTCCCAAGGAACCAGCTTTGGGTGTGCTGTGGAACAAGCCACAAACGCCAAGATCCCTGGCCTTGGAGCTAGGTTTTACTAACCAGCCCCAGCTGTCTGGTTGCCGAGCACCCTGGGAGGGCTGCAGAGTGGCCGTGCAAGCCGCTCCCTCGCCTGCTCACCTCTCTGCCTCCTCCACGTGTTGCAGATTGAAAAGCAGTGATGGCACGATCTTGTCCATATGCTGTGGGTCCCAGATATTGGCCTGCAGTTCGTCATTCACCGTCTTCCTCACCACTCCTTGTAGACCTTTGATGCCTGACATTCGGATTCTGTAAAGAAAAGGGGGACAGGGGCCATGACGTCTGCAAACCTTGGCAAGTCCAGCTTCTGTGACAAGGAGGGGAGCGCAGCGAGGGGTTTACGGATGTCCATAAAGGCAGAGGGGAGCCCACCTTCCACTCTTCGTGTGACTGGGCCTCCTGGCTGGCTGCCTGAAAGCCATGTCTTCCAGCTTGTCTTGGAGATTCCTTGACTGACCTTGCCCTGTACCACCCAGGTTTCATCCCTAAGGTGCCAGTTTTCTCCAGGCTTCTTAGTACCCAGCTGGGTTTTCTCCAGCTTGAGACTAAGATATAAGGGCCCAAAGGGTTGCCAAGAATTGACAAGGCAGAAACTAGGGTTGAGGGCAACTTACAGAGGGAAGAGATCTGGAGGGGGAGGCACAGAGCTGTCATGCTCTTGGGCACAAGGGGGTCTTGGCTGGGACTAAACTGGCTGAGAAATCAGAGGACACGTGAGTAACAGCACAGAGTGAACCTCTTTTGCACAGGTCCATTCTCTGATGAAAGTGAAAGTCACTCAGTCGAGACCCACTCTTTGCCACCCCATGGAATTCTCCAGGCTAGAATACTGAAGTAAGTTAGCCTTTCCCTTCTTCAGGGGATCTTCCCAACCCAGGGATCGAACCCGGGTCTCCATTGCAGGCGAATTCCTTGCCAGCTGAGCCACAAGGGAAGCAATGGAGTAGCCCTCATGGTCAACAAAAGAGTCCGAGATGCAGTGCTTGGATGCAACCTCAAAAATGACAGAATGATCTCGGTTCGTTTCCAGGGCAAACCATTCAGTATCACAGTAATTCAAGTCTATGCCCGACCAGTAACGCTGAAGAAGCTGAAGTTAATGGTTCTATGAAGACCTACAAGACTAGAACTAACACAAAAAAAGATGTCCTTTTCATTATAGGGGACTGGAATGCAAAAGTAGGAAATCAAGAGATACCTGGAGTCATAGGCAAATTTGGCCTTGGAGTACAAAATGAAGCAGGGCAGTATTAAGAAGAAGTGGCAATAATACATAGAAGAACTATACAAAAAAGATCTTCATGACCCAGATAACCACACAGGTGTGATCACCCACCTAGAGCCAGACATCCTGGAATGTGAAGTCAAGTGGGCCTTAGGAAACATCATTACGAACAAAGATAGTGGAGTTTCAAATCCTAAAAGATGATGCTGTGAAAGTGCTGCACTCAACATGCAGCAAATTTGGAAAACAGCAGTGGCCACAGGACTGGAAAAGGTCTGTTTTCATTCCCATTCCAAAGAAGGGTAATGCCAAAAAATGTTCAAACTACCACACAATTGCACTCATATCACACTAGCAAAGTAATGCTCAAAATTCTCCCAAGCTAGGCTTCAACAATACGTGAACCGTGAACTTCCAGGTGTTCAAGCTGGATTTAGAAAAGGCAGAGGAACCAAAGATCAAACTGCCAACATCCGCTGGATCATCGAAAAAGCAAGAGAGTTCCAGAAAAACATCTACTTCTGCTTTATTGACTATGCCAAAGCCTTTGACTGTGTGGATCACAACAAATGGTGGAAAATTCTGAAAGAGATGGGAATACCAGACCACCTTACCTGCCTCCTGAGAAATCTGTATGCAGGTCAAGAAACAACAGTTAGAACCGGACATGGAACAATGGACTGGTTCCAAATTGGGAAAGGAGCACGTCAAGGCTGTATGTTGTCACCCTGCTTGTTTAACTTATATTCAGGGTATATCATGCGAAATGCTGAACTGGATGAAGCACTAGCTGGATCAAGACTGTTGGGAGAAATATCAATAACCTTAGATATGCAGATGACACTACCCTTATGGCAGAAAGCAAAAAAGAACTAAAGAGCCTCTTGATGAAAGTGAAAGAGAAGAGTGAAAAAGTTGGCTTAAAACTCAACATTTAGAAGACTAAGATCATGGTTTCCAGTCCCATCCCTTCATGGCAAATAGATGAGGAAACAATGGAAACAGTGAGAGACTATTTTTTGGGCTCCAAAGTCACTGCAGATGGTGACTGAAGTCATGGAATTAAAAGACACTTGCTCCTTGGAAGAAAAGCTATGACCAACCTAGACAACATATTAAAAAGCAGAGACATTACTTTGCTGACAAAGGTCCATCTAGTCAAAGCTATGGTTTTCCCAGTAGTCATGTATGTGAGAGTTGAACTATAAAGAAAGCCGAGAGCTGAAGAATTGATGCTTTTGAATTGTGGTGTTGGAGGAGACTCTTGAAAGTCCCTTGGACTGCAAGGAGCTCAAACTGGTCAATCCTAAAGGATATCAGTCCTCAATATTCACTGGAAGGACTGATGCTAAAGCTGAAACTCCAATACTTCGGTCACCTGATGTGAAGAACTGACTCACTGGAAAAGACCCTGATGCTGGGAAAGATTGAAGGCAGGAGGAGAAGGGGATGACAGAGGATAGATGGTTGGATGGCATCACTGACTCAATGGACATGAGTTTGAGCAAGTTCCGGGAGGTGGTGATGAACAGGGAAGCCTGGTGTGCTGCAGTCCATGGGGTGGCAAAGAGTTGGACACGACTGAGTGACTGAACTGCACTGAACTGAGTATCCACTGTGCTGACCCAGGTGACAGGACAGCCCTGCGGGGGGGGGGGGGGGGGGGGGGGGGCTCTTTCCTGGCTGTTTATTTCATCCTGAGGTTGCTTTTTTTAACCAAACCTTTTTCTGATGATAACATAAAACATGCTAATTATAGAAAAGTGCAAAGATGATTTATCCCCTGCCATCACCACTTAAAGATAATTATCATTGGCATTTTGGTGTCCTGCTTTTCTTCTGTGTATAATAGCTAACAGAATAAAGAACTTGCTGCATATCTAATTTGTATTGGTTTTTTTCACCCATAGCATTCTATTACAAGCATTTTCCTATATCATTAACTCACAAACACGTTGAATGGTTATTTGATACACTGTTAGAAGAACTTTCTAAACTAGTCTCCTATTGGTCATTGGTTGTTTCTAAATTTGCTTCTGTAATAATGCTACAGTGGACATCCTTTTATAAAATGCTTTGTTGTTGTTGAGTTGCACAGTTGGAGTTGCTAAGCCAAGTCCGACTTTACTACATTCCAAATCATTGCCGTGAATGGAATTACTGAATCGAACGATAAGAAATAAAAGGCTCCCAATTTTGCCAGATTCCTCCCCCACCCCCATCACACAAGCTGCAGGAGATGGCTAGGACGTCCTCTCTGTTTCTGCCTCAGCACTGGGGATCTCATTTTAAACAACTGCTCTAATTTTGTAGCTCAGAAAAATCCTCACATCTTGTAGCCATTTCAACTCCTATACCCCTTATTGGAGTTGAGCAGTTCTTCTGAACATTTAGTTGCAATTTGTAACTTCAACTTCAGTTTTAAGTGCTGTTGCCAAGGTTCAATCCCTGGGTCCGGAAGATCCCTGGAGAAGGGAATGGCTACCCACCCCAGTATTCTTGCCTGGAGAATCCCACAGACAGAGGAGCCTGGAGAGCTACAGTCCATGGGGTTGCAAAGAGTTGGACACAGCTGAGAGGCTGAGTGCATGCGCACCAGGGTGCTAGGCTGAGCTTTTAACCCAGAGAACATAAATGGGCAGTGGGGTTTGCCTAATGCACCAAGATGCCCTGGCCCAGGACCAGTTAGACTGCTGGCAATGGACACAGATTCCCTGGGCAAACAGCTACTCCCATCCTGAGCCCCAGTCAGCACCCTGAGCCGAGGCTTTTCAGATTGGAGAAAAAATTAACTGGAATACAGTTCTGTTAACTATTGTTGGCTTCAGGTGAAAGGTTCTCCGTCGTGCAGTCCAGAAATAAATCCCAGACATGCTGGACTCCTGTCCCACCCAAGAGAGTCTGGCTGGAAGGGAAACCAGGCCCGGGGGGTGGAAAATTTCCTATTCAGGGTTTCGCTCTTCATGACTATGAATTAATTTTTATTCACTCTTTCAATTTCCCTAGAATCCCTTCCACATATGAACACATTTCATTCCATGACACCCAGCGCTGACTGACTGGGCCTGAAGAAGCAGCTTCTTACTGCTCCTTGTAATGGGCTCAGTGGAGGTCTGCCTGCATGCAGGGGGCCTAGAGAGTGTGAACCCAAGGGATTTACAACACACACACACACACACACCTCACACCCCTATTTACGAGACCCAAGGATAGTTCTTAGAAGGGAGCTCTGGGCTCTGCAAAGGCTGCGAAGGACCAGGGGAGAGCTCCTGGAGAAAGGATGCAGGGAGGTTATGGATGGGAGACAAGAGGAAGAGAGAATCGCTTCTCACCCCTCAGCCTCCCTTCCATGGGTGGCAGGTGCCAGGCTGTGGGTGCTGAGGGCACTACCCAGCTGTCAGGAGCAAACCTCAGCACCCTTCTCCCAATGTTCATTCGCTGTCCATGTCAGGACATGGTGTGACTGCGCCTGCTCCCCTCCTACTGTGGATTGTGTACATGTGCACGGTTGTAGGTGTATGGGTGTGTGATTGCGTGTGGGTTTCCCTGGTGGCTCAGACAGTAAAGAATCTGCCTGCCACGCAGGAGACCCAGGTTCAATCCCTGGGTCAGGAAGATCCCCCGGAGATGGGCATGGAAACCCACCTCAGTATTGTTGCCTGGAGAATTCCATGGACAGAGGAGCCTGGAGAGCTACAGTCCATGGGGTTGCAAAGAGTCCTACACGACTGGGTGACTAACACAACGTGACACGTGGGTTTGTGTAGTGAACGTGACTGTGTGTGTGTGGATGTCATTGTATGTGTGTGTGTGGTTGTGTATGCAATTGTGTATTGTGTGATGGTGTATGCGTGTGAGTGCGTGTAAAGCGGCACGAGAAGTGTCCCCTCCCCTCCCTTCCCCAAAGCAGGGCTCTGCCTGGGTGATCAGCATCCCTTACAGTCACACCTGGTTACCGCCCTGCCTCTTCCTCATCGCCTGCTTCTGGACACACCCCACCTGCTCCATCCCCTTGTGCCTCTTCACAGCCACCTGGAGTGAGCTGGCTGCTGCGGGAACCAGCACTGGGGAGACAGGGGGCTCCTTCCTCCCCCTGACCCCCACTGGCCTCACAGAGGCACTGCAGCAGCACCCAGGGAGCCCCTGGCTGGTTCCAGAGAGGGGAGACTGGGGAGCCAGGGTATCGCCGGCCAGTCACACGGGCCCTGCCCCAGAGCAGTCCTGAGGCTCAGAAGCTTTGGGAACTGGCAGCCCGGGGGATGGAGGGGTTTGCATCCTGGGGTTCCTCCAACCCAGACGATCAGCCATGGTTTGCAAGCAGTCGTTAAGGGCACACGGGGCTCCCTGACCCTGCCATCACACATCACGTGGCACTCCCGAGTCCCTTGGGGTGCTGACGTGATGCAGGAAGGAGCCAGCAGCTGAGTTCCGGAAAAAAGCCATGGAGAACTGGTCTCCTGCGGGCGTGCTGGCCACCCAGCCTCAGCCTTCCAGCCCCTGCCTCCTCCGGCTCCTGAAGCTTTGTCAGGTGAATGGCTCAGCCCTTCTCCTTCCTCCCTCCTCCTTTTCCTTGGTTTCCCATCACCTCCCAGAGTTGATAACGTACTCTTCACAGGCAGGGGTTTACTTTTCATCCTTTGCACCTTTCAGCTCCAAGGACGATGCTTAGCACAAAACACCAATGTACTGCTTCATCGGCCTGATGCTGTGTCGTGATTTGTCTATCTGTGTCAGCCTATATTTGTGTGAATTTCTCTGTGATGTTATTTGAGGGGTTTAATTTCTATGTCAACGAGTCTATTTCTGTGAGTGAAGTATTTTTGTATGAGTGTGTGTGCATGTGTGTGTGTAAAAGTGTGCTCTGTCATTTAAGATGTTCATCTGGGAAGCACTTATTCCTTCACTCACTTACTCAACAAGTATTTCTTGAGTGCCTGCTGCTCTCCAGGCACTTGGCATGCTTCAGTGAACGAAACTGATTCCTGCCCTCACAGAGCTGACATTGTAGTGGGCAGAGATAGACAATGAATGAGAGACATATGCAAATGATGAGACATGTTTGAAGGGGAAATAAAAATAGAGCAGCATGAGGGAGAAAGGGATGGAGCATGTGGGAATTTTCAGGGGAAGGCGTTGTTGACAAGGGGATATTTGAGCAAGGCCTGGAAGAGGTGAAGGAGTGAGCTGTACAGATCCACACAAGAAGCATTTCAGGCAGAAGAACAGACAGTGCAAAGGCCCTGTGGCAGGAATGTCCCTGGTGTGTTTCCAGGCAGCAGGGAAGCCTGTGTGGCTGAAGGGGAATGCGCAGTGGGAGAGGGGATGAGATGAAGTCAGGAGGGCAGCAGGGATCAACCAATGCGAGGATTTTGGCTTTTTATTTTTGGGTGTACATTTGTGGGCTTCCCTGCTGGCTCAGACAGTAAAGAATCTGCCTGCATTGCAGGAGACCCAGGTTCAGTCCCTGGGTCAGGAAGATCCCCTGGAGAAAGGAATGGCAATCCACTCCAGTATTCCTGTCTGGAGAATCCAATGGACAGAGAAGGCTGGCAGGTTACAATCCATAGGGTTGCAAAGAGTCAGACACTACTGAGCGAATAACACTAACACACTGTTTTGATGGAGAGTGGTAAGTGGGAATATTTCTGGGGTGTGTAAGTGCATGCACTTCTGAACAAAAGAGAGCATGGGTATGGGTGTGTGTGTGTGTGTGTGTGTGACTGGCTCTCAGATTGGGCTCAGAGGACCATGACCTTACACCTGACTCTGTTTTCTGCCCCTTGAGGCTATTCCTTTAGAAATCACGTATTGGGAGCACAACTCTGCCCACACACTCGCTTAAGTCCTGCTGGGAACCTTTTCCCTGCCAACAACACCAGAGCTATGGTAAATGTGGTAAAATTAGACACGCAATACAGGCTGGGAGCTCTGGGGACCCACTGATGCTCCTGCCTTATACTCACTTAGTCTTGATCTCCAAGTCCTCGTGGCTGGAGTGGCACATCTCACTGAAGCGAGACACAAAGAAATCGTAGCTCCGATGGTAGGACGGGGTGTCCTCCTCGATGTTGGCGAACTTCACAAACTGTGTGTGGGGGGGGAGAGGGAGAAAAGACAGGAAGGTGACCCACCATGCCCCCCACCTTTGGGCTCTGGCACTTCGTGTCCCCAGACCCTTTGCCATAGGAAAGCCACAGGATAACACATCTGAGGAAACACACACACCCCTGGATCCAGCTCTAGTATGCTTCCCAGAGCACACTGTGAGATTTGAGAACCAGATTCTGGAGATCTGAGTACCAAATTCTGCTTCCCTTTCTTGTCTACATGAGACAGGAATCCCTGGCCCGTCCCTGCTAGGTGAGCAGAGAATGGAAGAGAAACGGGGAGCTCCGTCACGTAAACTCCTGTTCCCATTAACATCCAGAGCTGCCCCAAACACACAGGCTTCGTGGCTTCACGGAGCAATGCTGCAGTTGAGCAAAAGTCAATCCTAAAGCACAGAGCACCACCCTAGAAGGCATTCTGGGAAACCAGGGCAAATCTGAACTTTGATTGGAAACCGTAACTACATTTTATTGTGAAAATTTTGAGTACATGTTGAAGGTGTACCATTTCAGTTCATTAAGTCTTGCTCAGCATTCTCAGCTGCTAGATCCCTTCTGCCATCACTGTGCTGCGAATTTGCAGTTCTGAATAGGGACTTGATTTCTACTGAGCCCCGCAGGGAAGCGAGAGTCACAGACTGAGTGGAGTTAAATTACCCAAAATGAAATATAATTCTTACAGCTTATTTTGCTTAGTACCACAAACAACTCTAAACAGATTTGATTTAGACTATATTCTCCATTATCCTGCCTTGTACTATTATTCAATTTTTACAAAACTTTGTTGGTTCAAAAAGGACATACTGTTATTACTAAAATTATCTAGTTAGTACACTCTCACAATATTCAGTATCATCAACCTGTTTTCCCCATTTAAATACTTAAAAGTTGCTAATAACTTTTTTTCAGATGAAAATTAGCAACCCACAAGCATTTTTAATTATTATAGTGTTTTGTTCTTGCAATAATAAATACACATTTATTTTCTGCTGACTCATAGATCTCAACATGCAAAGCAAATAAGGAAGTCTTTCCTTCAAAAATACATCTAAAATGTACATATGTATTTGGAAGTGATAATTCTGCTATTAGCAATAAATCCAAATGACATTGTTTGATTTATTGATGTGGCAATGCAGAAGAAGTGTAGTGGTAATCCATGTGATCACAAGATCATCAATTAGACATAAGTTTGGGAGTTCCAGAAACAACGATAAAGCTGTTGTTTGGCTATGTGATCTTCCTAAACCCTGCAGGCTAGAACACAAAGTCAGGCTGATACCAAGTGAGGGAAAGTCACTCAGTTATGTCTGACTCTTTGTGACTGTATAGTCCATGAAATTCTCCAGGTCAGAATACTGGAGTGGGTAGCTGTTTCCTTCTCCAGGGGATCTTCCCAACCCAGGTATGGAACCCAGGTCTCTGGCATTGCGGGCGGATTCTTTACCAGCTGAGCTACCAGGGAAGCCCAAGAATGCTGGAGTGGGTAGCCTATCTCTTCTCCAGTGGATCTTCCTGACCCAGGAATTGAAACAGGGTCCTGGTGGCTTAGAGGGTAAAGTGTCTGCCTGTAATGCGGGAGACCTGGGTTCGATCCCTGGGTTGGGAAGATCCCTTGGAGAAGGAAATGGTAACCCACTCCAGTATTCTTGCCAGGAGAATCCCATGGATGGAGGAGTCTGGTAGGCTTCAGTCCACGGGGTTGCAAAGAGTTGGACATGACTGAGCAACTTCATTTTCTTTCTTTCTTTCTCCTGCGTTGCAGGCGGATTCTTTGCCAGCTGAGCTACCAGAGTTGATACAGAGGTTGGAGCTAAATACGGGTTCATGGCTGCTCTTAACCACCACCGAGATGGTCCCAGGCTTCCCTGCTGGAATCAGAAGCCTGGCTTGGTCCATCAGGTGAGAGAAGTCATGCAGCTATGTGGTTCTAACTATAGATCTGCCTCTAACTGGTAGGAGGACCTCTGAGTGAGATATTTGACTTCTCTATGTCTTGGTCTTCCCATGTGAGGAATGAGCAGCCCAGTCTTCATTCATTATAGTTTTCTTTTATTGATACTCTCTCTACTTCAAATATGAAAAGGCAGTTTAAGGTACGACTGAGTATGCAAGAGTATGTGCATTTCAAAACAATTAAAACAAGACTGAAGAAGAAAAGAGACCAGTAATAAAGAAGGAGAAATTGTTAAAGAAAGACTTGGCCCCTGAGACTTCCCTGGTGGTCCAGTGGTTAAGAATTTGGCTTCCAGTGCAGGGGGCACTGGTTCGATCCCTGGTCGGGGAACTAAGATCCCATGTGCCCTGGAGCAACTAGCCCACCTGCGGGCAACTATTGAGCCTATGCACTTCAGAGCCCGAGCTCTGCAACAGGAAAACCCTGAGCAGCACAATAAAGATCCAGCACAGCCAAAATTTTAAAACATAATAATAACTAAAAAAAAAAAAAAAGACCTAGTCCTAAACATATATTGACTGTGTAGACCCAAATATATATTAGGAGAATGAATAACCAGACTTCATGGTCACTGGTGTGGGAGTTGATGGGCTAATAGCAATGATGTTTAGAACATACACGTATCAGGTACTACCCTAAGCATTTTATATGCATCAGCTATTTCATTTCATGAAATGACTCTAATTTAGAGAGATTATTATTCTCACTTTGAAGACAAAGAGACCAAGACCCACAAACGTTACATAATTGCCCAGGGTCCTGCAGGAAAAACCTGGGTATCAACACAGAGGCCTCACTGCAGGTCTCCCCAGCAGAGCTCTCTGGCTTTGCTCTTGATTCTGGCTTCCTCTAGAACCTCAGACCAAATGACCCAGGAGCATTGCTTTGGGGATGGGGGCAGTTGTCAGGGGTAATGGGCAGAAGATGAAGACACCGCTGGAGAGGACCTTGTGTAAACTAAGTCACTTCAGTCGTGTCTGACTCTGTGAACCCATGGACTGTAGCTCGCCAGGCTCCTCTGTCCATGGGGATTCTCCAGGCAAGAATACTGGAGCGGGTTGTCATTACCTTCTCCAGAGGATCCTCCCGACCCAGGTATCGAATTCGCATTTCTTATGTCTCCTGCATTGGCAGGTGGGTTCTTTACCACTAGCACCACCTGGGAAGCCCAGGTGGGGACCTCTGTTGTTGTTCAGTTGCTCAGTCGTGTCTGACTCTTTGCGATCCTGTGGACTGCAGCACACCAGGCTTCCCTGTCCTTCACCATCTCCTGGAGCTTGCTCGAACTCATGTCCACTGAGTCAGTGATGCCATCCAACCATCTCATCCTCTGTCGCCCCCTTCTCCTCATGCCCTCAATCTTTCCCAGCATCACAGTCTTTTCTAATGAGTCAGTCTTCGCATCAGGTAGCCAAAGTACTGGAGCTTCAGCTTCAGCATCAGTCCTTCCAATGAATATTCAGGGTTGATTTCCTTTAGGATGGACTGGTTGAATCTCCTTACAGTCCAAGCGACTCTCAAGAGTCTTCTCCAGCATCACAGTTTGAAAGCATCAATTCTTCGGTGCTCAGCTTTCTTTATGGTCCAACTCTCACATCTGTACATGACTACTGGGAAAACTTTGACTATATGGACCTTTGTCGGCAAAGTAATGTCTCTGCTTTTTAATAAACTGTTTAGATTTGTTATAGCTTTTCTTCCAAGGAGCAAATTCTCTGTCTCTGAGGCCTAGAATTGCCCAGGAGGCTACAGCCTCCCGGCTTAGGCAGATTATTCCATTGCCTCGCTCTCCAAGATTCTTGCTCTGTTACAAGATCTGGGGACGAGACTGTACTTGATGCCATCCAGAGGGTGTGAGCCCCATTTATTACATTATGAGTGGCATCAGGGCTAATAAAACAGCCACTTTTTGGTACCAGGATCTCTGAGCATCCTTGGGAACCTTTGGTTTGGTAGCTTGATAGGAGGAGCTTCCCTTCCCTGAGTCTGAAAGTTGGACAACAGAGATGACCTGGTCAGGGAATGCTGGCCTGAGTATCCCCATGGGTGCTGCTCCAAGAGAGCCCACCTTAAGCTGCTCCTGAGTCCTCCAGGGCTGATGAGAGGAGGCCAAAATGGAAACTTTGGTAATCGTGGTTCAGAGGATCAAATCGGAGGGCCCTGGTCATGGGGCCACACTCACTGTAGAAGTCCACCTGGGGAACATGCCCAAAGCTGGCTGAGACAGGGGCTGAGACTCTGGGCTTTAAAGCAGAGCCTCCATTTCTCCTATTAGAGGCAGAACAGTGTCATGATTATGAGAATAGGTTTGAAGCCAGACTACTAGGAGGCTGATCTGAGGCTCTCTGTGCCTCAGCTGTCCCATCCGTACAATGGGGCTAGCAAGAGCAGCTGCCTCATAGACTTGTATGACCAGTCCATCACTGTTAACAGTTGCCACCCCATTTTTCCCACAGTGGATTTCGGGCTTGCTGTCAGTACTCCATGAGTTTCCACTGGGCCTCTGTACTTATGTGACCCTCTAATGTTGTTAAATGCCTGAAACAGTAGGAACTTCCTGTCTATTTCATGCCGATCACCGCTAGTTCATACCTTAAGAATGGCTTTCGTTAAAATGCTGCTTGTCTAATGCATAAGATTGTGAAATAATAAAGTAGGGTTTGTTTTATTTTTTAAAGACATTGCCATGATGAGGAAGGTCTACATAGCAACAAACTGGAGACTGTGAAGATGTGACACTTTAAAGGTCATAGGCACCACTAGAGCCACCCTTTCAAAGAGCTGATCAAAGTTTCAGCTCTTCATACACAACAAAGGGTGCTATGCTTGCAGGAGTTGCTCACCCACCCTCTGGCATAGGCAGGAAAGAGCCACAGTTGTATGAAAACTGAGAGTTACTAAGGGATTGGGTCAATAGAGAGAAAGCAAGCTCCAAATATTGACATTGCAAAACCAGCCCTCCCTGGGTCTGGAAAATGGAAGCTGAGCTGCTGGTCGGCCTTACTTCAGCGCTAGCCAAGT